TAAGCCTTCTGATAGCTCATGACCACCCCGTACTCACGTCGAACATCATTAATGATGTCCGAAGGTCTGTAGATCGTTCGTGGATCTTGGAACTTGTGCATTATTTCTCGACCAATAAACCATGGCCTGCCTATGATCATTTCGACGAATACCCACTTCGCAAGTATGTTCCCGTGCATACTTACGAACTACAAAGAACTTATTCGTGTCCATCTTAGTCGCTCACAAACACCAATGGCAACTATCGTCAATGCAAATAATTGTGTACGTCGACTTGCTTGATTTCTTCACTTTAAACTCGAAGTTATGTTTTAAAGCAATCCGGTGCACAGCTTCTTGCAATTCTTTCTTTGATTCGAATAGTTGCTCGACATATACATCTTCATCATCGGGAACTACACGCGAACAATTAGAGGACCGTGTACTGCGAAATTCCATTGATTCTCTATATATGATTTTGAAGCTCACAAAGGCTGATTCAATAACTTTAGTTTCATGGTCTCAAAACAAGATTTATCCAGATCTGATAATCCCTTTCCACTTTATCAACGGTTTGAACATCAAAATTGTGTTACAAAAAGATTAGATCACTTTCTAACATAAAGTACCAGATGATAAAAAGATTAATTCCCGTTTGAACAAATAATGACTATTTATAAACACTGGAGGAGGAACAAAATGACCTTGAGAGCAGCAGTAAACATGCCCATTCGCTCGTAGGCAAGACCCAAGGCCTGCAAAAGCACAGGAGGAGGAAAAAAGTGTAAGAACTAGAAAACAACAGCCCATCAAGAACCTAGAAAGTAAACATCAGCTAAGTACCTCCCACAAATCTGCACAGGTAGGAAAGCCACGGATGGCATGCTGAAGGCTCTGTACAGCTTCGGACCATTTACCTTGATGAGCCTGCAAGGAATTGCCATTCAGCTTCAATCAATAAACACAACCAGCAAAGGACTCTACAGGAAAATATGGTGCCGATGATGATACAAAACCTGAAGGTAACCTAGTCGACGGAAAGCCCAAAATGCCCTGGCTGACTTCTCAGAAGCTTCTCTGCAGACAGCAACCTCCAAGCTTTCTTTCCCACCTTGGTCCAACAAATCACAAATCGCTTCCTGTAATTCAGGAATTCAAATTAACCTCTACATTGTAATATAATAGCACAACAGCTTCAAACAAACAATCAAAAAACAAACCCCAGCTTCAGAATCATCAGGATTGAGAGTGATGGCTCTCTGATAACACTTCAGAGCCCGCTGAGGATCCGATGAAACGTGCGTATAATAATGACCTAGGTATCTAAAGGCAGCCCCATTTTGTGGATTAAGCTTGGCTGCTATCACCAAATGCTCCACTGCTTTCTCCCTCCTTTCTTGCCGTTTCTCCCCCTTTTCCCATAACAAAACGCCCTACATTAAGGTATACACTCCCTTCAATTTCACCATGCACTAATTACAACAAAGAAAAGAAACCCAAGAACGAACAATCAAGGTAGCATTTTTACCAAACTAAAATGAAGAGATGGGTCATCAGGGTCGGAATCTATTGATTCTTGCAATCGCTTTATATTAACTTCGTCTTCTTCTTCCAAGGCCTGCAATGAAATTGCTAACCATAATAGTAATCAAAAACATAAATTTTATTATACGCAGCAGTAAAAAGGAGATTCAAACATGGTAAAGTCAGGACCATGGTTTTCTGCCTCCTGCTACTCCTTTCCTACAAACAACTAAAACTGCGGCTCAGTTCGGAATTCCGGTGAAGAGGATGCCTGAAATTAGCATAACCTACGTACAGCCGTAATATTTCACTTTCCTTTTTGAGGGAATTTCGGGAAGGACAAGTCACGAATATAGAGTGAAAACAGAGAATGAAAATGAAAAAGTACCTACAATAAATATTTTTTGGTTAAATAGTCCTAATTTATGACGTTTTAAAAGTTTTACCTTGATTAAAATATCTAAAATATTCAATTTAAAATCAAAATTTATAAATTTCGCAAACCTAAATTCCCCTTCATTCTCATATTTCGAAACCTATTTTCATATATTACACCTACATCCAAACCCCACTTTCTTCTTCTTCTTCATATTCTTCATATGCATCATCTTTAGTTGCATTTAGCAATAAATATCTAAAGTTACTTTATTTAAACCAAAAATAAGTTACTTTATTTAAACCAAAAATAAATCAAACGGTACACATTTTGGAAGTTAGTCAGCATGAATTGATTCCAAATAGTTGAAAGTTTGTTTTATATATTTTTTGTAGATGTGTACCCTCTTTTGTAGTGTCATTTTAGGTTGTTAATAATGTTATTGATGTAGTTCTTCGTAAATTAGTCCTCCATTCTTGTACAACATTATACAATTTTAAACAAAATGTAAACGGCAAATGCACGTTTTAAACAATAAAATGTTGCTTTTTGTTTGCTTAAAACTTGTTCTATAATAGCATGTGTTGCATTTTGTTTGTAAATGAAGTTGTACATCATAATCTTCATTTTTACAATTAATGGACTAACATATTACATAATTCTGTTGAACTCCAGATGTGGACACCGGTGCAATAATTATTGCTTGTTATTTTGTTTAATTTAAAAATAGTAACGAACGTGGATGAATTTGAAAATAAGTAGGAAATGATCAAGACACTGAAATAAATGTTTTTGTATAAAAAAAAAAAATCATATGTGACGTTTAATGATGAAATTCGAAAAGCAACTAATGTTGATTCTGTTCTATAAAAAATGAAGATGAAATTTCTTGTTTCGGGAATGGCAAAATTATCAATTCCACCAATGAAGATTACTTGCGAGATGGATGTTAGTTGGTTTCTCTCTTTGCATGACCAATTTCCAATTTGTGTAATCCATGTGAAAAAAGGTCATGTTGATGATGATATGCAACGTGTTGTGATAAATGAACAAGATATCATGAATGCAATTCAAAAGTTGTTGTGCATAATGAAGAAGATATGGATGGATGCAATATGCAAATGTTTAAGTTCAATGATAATTGTGAAAATGATTGTGTGATTTCACTGATGATGATTTTGGGATTGGTGGAAATATTGTGTGACAATAAAAAATATGATTTTCATGCGATAAATGAAGATAATGTTACCTGCACCATTTACGTTGATAGATGAGATTATTAAAACTTCACAAATTGTTTGTTCGAGTCCTTGTAGACCATGAATAAAGATTTCTAACGTCAATGATGTGCATGTTAGCAAAATGTTTCGCAAAAAGAATGATCCCCAAGCATCGCTACGAATGCTTCTTTAAGATACTGTTTTGGACTTAAAGTTATCGAGTCAAACAGGAGTACAAGTGTTGTAGTTTTTGTAGAGGAAATTTGCAAATGACATTTGAAGGCAACGCGGTTGAAGGAAAGTAATGAATTTGAAATTTGAAAGTATTCACGTTACCATAATTGTTCAATGGATGCTCACCATAAGGATCACAAACAAGTTAGGTGTTGGATGATTGAAAGACACAATATGTCAAAGATTGAGGATCACAACATGATTTTCAAACCTTTGAACATTCAAAATGATATTCGACAGGAGTTTGTCATAGATATAAATTATTATAAGGAGTGGATGCATAGAAAATGTGCTTTATAGCACTCAAAGAGTTCACTTGATCTTAGTTATGATAGATGGGTCAAGTATTGCAATATTTTAGAGAATAATTATTTCGGTACAATGACAACGTTCATTGAGGTTGACAATAGAATCATTTTAAATACTTTTTTATTGCCTGAGGACCAAGCATATGTGATTTTTACTCATCAATGAGACAAAATCATTTATGTGGATGAAATGCTTCTCAAATCTAAATTTTGACGTACACTACTTGTTGCCACGTTTGAAGTGAAATTTTTCAGTTATATCTCTAGTATTTGGCATTATTGATTCTGAAAATAATGCATCATGGACTTGATTCTTTAATAAATTGCTTTCAGGTAACTTGTACGTTGGAAGGGCTTATATTTATTTGTAATTATAAGGAAAGCATAGGTAAGAATATAGAGATTGTTTACACTTGTGCCGATCATGAATGTTGCTTGTAGTAACCACAACTAAATATAGAGTCCAAACATTATAGAACTATATATTGCCATTGTTTATGGTAACAATGAAAGGAGTACAGTTTGATTAATTTGAAAAATTTAATGGAAAACACATATCATAAAAGTTCGAAAATTGAAAAAACACAGAGAAAAAAAAAGTTGAGTGTGACTTTTGGTCTCAAGCACATTTCAAAGGAATCCACTACAATATTGTAACAACTAACAAAGCAAAATCTTTGATCTTGATATTAAAAAATGCTCACGAATTTTTAGTACTTGCTATAGTTGAGTTAATCAGAAAGACTTTATATAATAGTATACCATAACCATCGACAGCAACAGTCAGAAAACGAATAAATGAGTTCTACAACCTACTTTTGGGTTTACTACCACTCTCTGAAGAAATGGATGCTTTAAAAAACATCTTTGTTACTCGCACATTTTCAATTGGAAAAAACAAGGCAACAATGAAGCAATGTATTTAGTTGTTTTGATAAGTCTGAAATCAATGTAGCAACAATCTTATTCTCGAGCCTTTCTCATAAAATATTTTCATAGCCATAACGAAGAAATGACAATAGGGTGAGCATGTTATGTCTTAAATAACTAAGGTTGCACTCGAGTCAAGAAAAAAATTTGATGTTCGATTGAGTTGTACATTGTTATTCCATGTGTCAGTACCTTGTTATTCCATGTGTCAGTACTTGACAAAGTAATTGGTCGTTTTGATTTTTTTGGCATAACTAGATGAATTCAGTAACTACTTTTATGATTAGTAGGCTTAATTTTATTGGCTCGATCAACTGAGTTACCTGAACAAATATGAACAACATTGGGATTTTCCTTTAGTAACAAAATTGTGAGTAATACTTATGTTCAAGTATCCAAAAAAGCTTGAAATCTTAGTCTTCATAAACCTTCATATCAATAAACTATAGAATAACCCTATAAAAGATTAACCAAATCACCAGTAATTAACATGTTGAAAATCTAGATTTTCATTGGCACCAAAGAAAAAACCAACTAAACATAATACAGTAACAAAAAAAAAAAGAAAAAAAAGGTCGAAAAGTGCCCACTTTACAAAACTTCGCATAAAATCTAAGTAACAATGGATAAGTGATGAAACCTTTATAGGATATACCATTTAGGAATTGGTTCTTTGAATGGGCTGTTCTGGATAGCTGAGCTATTCATAGTGGTAGTTGTTTCCTATGGTAGTAACGTTTGTAATGGGATTTTAATTACACATTTACCCTATAACAGGAAGAAGATACAGAACAATAGAAGGAGACGACGAAAGATCCTGGGATGGTGGCATTCAAAATGGAAGAAACGGTTGTCGAGTTCAAGAGAAAAGAGAAGGATTTGGGTTCGGAAAGGTTTCAAGGAAAAATTTTCGTGTTATTGAATGAGGATTGTTTATAAATTTTAATTTAAAATTTTTAATATGGATAGGGACTAAAATTGCAAATTGTATTATGAAAGAGGTTATTTGACCCAATTTTCACTTGTATGATTGAGATTTCCTGGTACCTTCTAGGTACACAAATCCCAATGGTAATTTTTCCTTACAAGACAAGACCTTAATTGAATTATTATAAGTAGGTTAAGACCAATGCTACATTTATAGAAATACTTTTACAGAAATACAGGGGACAACCTTCTATGATTGGTTGTTGTCAAAAATTATTATTTTATCAACTATTTATAGGTTGTACTGTATTTGTAGGCCTCAAAATATTAATGTTAGGTATTTTATACAAACAATTACTGGATTTTCAAAATAAAAAGAATTCAACCAAGTGTTCAATATTGAACCCTACAATTTGGATATTACAGGAAATGTATATTTTGTACACAATGTCGGATTTAGTGACCTTCATAATGGATGACTAAATTTTTCATGCCAAGTTGTAGTTATATGATTCTACATTTTGAAAACACTGTAAAATACTAATTGTCAACTTTAATAGAGTTATATAGGGGACGAGTAATTGATTTGTATTAATTGTTAAATTTTTAGTCTACATTATTATGAAAAATGTAGAAACGAAATTCATAAATTATAGGTTTTCTAAGGAAGCATAGTAAAGTATGAGTAGTACATCACACATTCACATCCAACACAAAAAGATTACACTCATCACTCGTCGCAACTAGTAATTAGATGGATTAATGTTTTCAAACATATGCCAAACGTTATCATCGACAAAAGTAGAATAATTTTCAATATCATATTTTCGACAAAAAGTCACTAGCATCTGTCGCAATACACATGATACATTACGATGAAGAAACATGTACAATATGAAATATAATATCTCCATCCCAGCAGACAACAAAAACAAAAAAATGTAGACATATTGTTTTAGCTTCAGTACACTAAACAGTTGAACACAACTTTAAGGACAAAATTCCAACCAATATGGTTGAATGTGTGACATTTCAGTGTAGAATCCCTGCAAGGAAGCATTTTATATATTTGATGATGTAAACGAATATTATGGACTTCATGTTCGATGTGTTCTGCAAACATGTACAGACATGATAAAAAAAATTAAAAGCCTTATATAATAGGTTAAAACCCCATTTGGTACTCATTAAATCACATTCCATTACATTTTATTTTTTTCTCTCCCATTTTTAACAAGTCAATTTTTCGTGAAATAATATTTTACGTAAATTGAAAAAAATTTCTTATTTTTCAACCATTCATTTTTTTTTTTTAAAGAATCATATTCCACTCATTTTCATTTCGAGAGAGTAGATTAATCAGTTCACCAGCCGCTTGAACATCAGGGACAAGGAAATGTGGTTGGAAATGATCTTATGGCTATTGAAAAAATTACTATGTTGTTGCTTCTGCTATGCGTAGTGCAGACAAATATTTCTATATTGAGAGAGCTACAAAATTAGGGGTTGAAGTTTTCACAGGCACAACTGATCTTGCAGTTGCTAAGATATTGATGGTCAATGATGTTATGGATT